AGTCGTTGATTATCAACGTTCGACAATGAATAGAGAACATCCATATTGTCAAGTTTCTTTCAAATAATAAATAATATCTCATTGATTAGATAAAGAAAGCTAACATTTTACTGATTCATGTTAATATTGACTTATGCTTTGCTTAGAATGCATAAAAGCATAAACATAAATGTATGTTCATTGTTTGCTTGCACCAATTGCTGTCATTGAATAAAATGAATATATGACCTCACAGGAATAAATATAGCATCGATGAATAGTTCAATGAATTCATAGATGAATATTTTTTTCTTTTTTCGTAACATATTACACCTTCAGTTTTTGAGGATCACGCCGTTTGGTTTTTTTACATCTTCTGTGTAGTTTGTGTAATATTTTGAAGATTAATTTGCAATTGATGCTTCTGCTTCATTAACATTATCAAATGCATCGTTTTCAACCCAATATATTGATTTCTTTTTTAAGAGTTCTTTTATTTCTGTTTATTTCATGATCTTTTTTCACCGTCTCTCGATTTGATATGTGGCTTTCATATAGAAAACTTTGTACTACTTCCATTGTTACGAATATGTCAAACTTTATAAACTCAAAATATATTATTTTTTTTTTGAAAAAACACGAAATATTTAATCATGGAAATAGATGCAGACAACGACGATGGAAGAAGTAATAAACAATAAGAAGAATTAAAACAATGATTCTTCTTATTTATAAAATATGTAATTTAAAAGAAGTAAATCAAAAGAACGAGAACAAATGTAGAACAACTAAAGGGTGTGAAAAGAAGAGCAGAAGTGTTCCACACTAAAAGGATTTCAATTCGTATACAGACGCTTTAATGCAACTGAGTGTTAATAAATTGTGTTTACTGATTTTTAAGTCCATTTACGAACCTAATAAATTATTAGCTGACCATACATCATATTCCAAAAAAATATATCACACCTATACTTGATTATGAAGAAAATTCTGAAGAAAACATCTAGTAGAGAGTTATATTTACAATCATAATAAATGAGAACCACAGTTAGTGATACTAAATTAAAAAGGAACATCTTTTTGATTAATATTTATATAATGGATGATAATTTCTTATTTTTGTTTATGTAGTTTTGCTCTTTTTTACTACACGATTATTAATTTTACTAGTTGATGATGTTGGAACTTTATTACCTGAACGACTTCTTTCTCGATTGTTTTGCTGATGGTCTATCTTCAGCATGATATTCAGCTTCTGCACTACCATCATCATTTGTTTAATCTTTGAATGGTTCATTTTCTGTAGTATGTTGTTTGCTCTTAGTTGTACCGATTTCTTTCTTATTTGATGATAAAGTAAGTCGCTTTGTTGATCCCTCTTTTTCGTGTTGTATTATTTTGTTGATCATCAGTTGAATATTTATCTTTAGTTTTAATATCGTTTTCAGATGGTTTTTTCAATGAATCAAAAGCTCTATCTTTACCATCGATTAAACTCTTTTCATCTAAAGCAATTGTACCGCTTCCCTCTTTCCATTGCTAAACATAGATTTGATAACCCCTTATAGACAAAAACGAAAGACATCCAATAATTATCACCTATCTGTTTGAGCATAGACTGTGTCTTATACATATGTAATTTCTTTTATTTTCCTCTTTCCTCTTTTCCTATTTGTAGCAACAATTCTTTTCCTCATATTGTTTCTAAGAGTCTTACATAATTTCTGTTCGAGATTTGTTTGCTTTACATCTATTTTTTCATTCTACAATACGTGTATAAAGATTGTCTTCTTTACAGCAAACAACAAGTGTTCTATTTTCCTATTTTTTCTCTTTTTGCGTATGTAAAACGAAGATGAAATACAAAAAATAAAATATCTACAGAAATGTGTATAAGAATTTCTAAATAATACATTTTGCAGTTAATTTAATAATTTGTCAAATTTAACATGCATAGTGTAGGTGTCAATATGAGATGGTTTCTTCTCTTCGTTTTTAACGACCAAAATAAATAAAATAAATAAAATAATAATATAATAGATTTATCAGCTGTAAGAATCATGTTAAATGGAACCAAGATCATATAATTAAGATAAGGAAGAATATTGAACATCGAGATGTACTCATTTCTAGAATTCAAATGAGGTGTTATTTGCTAAAATTTTTTCCTCAACTTCCCTATACTATAATAATGTCGATCAAAATATTCTCTCTCACTTATATGTTATATTCTACGATAAGGTTTTCTGCACTCATTTATCTCAATATTATATTGCAAATCTTATAGAATACGATAGGTTTGCGAAATTTCAGTTGATTCCTATTATTGACCTGTATATATTTACTTTTACTGAAAAGCTTATCATGCTTCTATTTTTAAAGTTTTTTATTTTTTATTTCGATATAATAAGATACGACCATATAAAGCATAAAAATAAAGTTGATACGGCAAATTGATCTTAAAAATAACAGAAAATCATTTATTTTCTTTTTTTTTCAGCCTATGTGTAACTGAAGCCGAAAGAATAATATACATACTCAAATCGTAGTAAAAAGAAAATTATCGTTCGATGCAGCATCTGTATGCGAACTAATTCGAGAGAGTGATTCATTGAGAAAGCATACACATTTTTTTCTTTGATGAAGGCCTTCCCGGGCTTCATCAAATATATTAATCGTATACATGACAAAAAATATGTATGAGTTGTATAAAACGTTTTTCTTTGTAAGCCAGTATTGATATAAATAATAATCAAACGAATGAAAAGCATTTCAACTATCGTGTTATTGGTGTTTTTATCTGCCACATTTGTTTCAACTGTTCGCATTGGCTCTTTCAATTTACATCAATACGGAAATGCAAAAGCAACAAATGCTACATTAACAGGTCTTATAGTTGATATTCTTAAGGATTTCGATTTGGCTATTATTCAAGAAATTACTGATGTTACAGTACAAGCTCCATATGTTTTACATGAAGCTTTGAATAAAAAATCAAAATCACGACCATATTCAATGACATTAAGTCCACGGGTTGGACGTTCAACATCAAAAGAACAATATATTTTTTTCAATCGTGAATCAACATCAGGTGTTAAACTTATTAATTATTATATTTATGATGACATTGGAGATCGTTTTGAACGACCACCGTAACACATTTCATAAAATAGTCATTGCTTTACTATTCATATTCTCTTTTTGTTTTTAAATTTTAGCTTCATTGGTACATTTCAAGTGACTAAAAAAGGTACATCAGGCGTGACATATTTTACTATAATGAATCTTCATTCAAAACCTACTGCTGCTTATCAAGAATTACTTGACATGCGTCTTGTTATAAGAAATTTTATTCTTGAAAATCCTCAATACTTTAGTGAAACATCCACATCATTAGCTACAGCTTTAGCTCAAAATGTAATAAATGCAACAAGTACTAATAAACCAAATTTGAGAACAAATCATCCTATATTAATTATGGGTGATTTAAATGCAGACTGTTCGTATATTTCTCAGACACGCCAAAAATCACTTCGGTTTGTTTATACAACTGCAAAAAAAATTATCTACAATTTTTTTTTTTCTATCTAAAAATTTTCTTTTTAGTTCTGTCGATTATGCTGATTTTGTATGGATGATTAATAATGAAGTTAAAACAAATACAAGACAAACATGTACATATGATCGTATTCTTGTTAATGGTGACAAGTTTGTTAGAGCTATTATACCACGGAGCAATACAACAGTAAACTTTCAACAAGACTTTGGTATGTCATTAGATCAAGCACTTGATATTAGTGATCATTTTCCAGTTAAACTTGATATCAAATGGTAACAAGAAAATAAAATAATATAAACTAAACAAATATTTTCTTATTCATTCTAAAACACACAGAAATATCTTAAGTAGAACGATGAAATCTAGTAAAATAGCATATATCTCAGTATTGAATATAGAGTTCCATTTAATCTAAGTAAATAGCGAATTGAAAAATTAGATATAATCAAATTGGAATCGAGTGAACATTCAATACTCGATTCTAATCTTAAATCTGACATTTACAAGCCAAATAGAAATTAGGCAAAACTTCACAATGAGTGCCACTATATAAAAGTAATGTTTTATACACTAAAATAAACGTATACTTCTCACTCATTATCATAACATTGAAATATTTTATATTCAATACTCTCTATCATATCTTCGGTCCATGATATTAAACAAGATATATTTCAGGTAATTATTGAGTTTGTTTATGTTCTAATCAATCATACATATAGACATACGATGCAGAGACAAGCTGGATTCAATACAAGAACCATATAAAATAACAATACACGTATACCTAATTATGAAGAAAATCTTCAAAAAAAAATAGCGTAGAGGGGTATTTGTACAATCATCATAAAAGAGGAACTACGATTATTGACACAATGTTAAAAAGGAACGTCATCTCGATTGATGTTTATACGATTGGCAATAACTTTTTACTTTTGTTTGTGTAGTTTTGCTCTTTTCAACTGCACGATTATTAGTTTTACTAGATGATGATGATAATGGAACTTTATCATCTGGACCACTTCTTTTTCGAGTTTTTTTTTTCTGATGGACCATCTATCAAAAGATGACCTAACAAAGCAACGATATATAACAGATATTAATTAATTGACCATGTTTAAAATTGTATTCAGATACTGTACTCCCATTATCATTTGTTCGATTTTCAAATAGTTCAGTTTCTACACTTCGTTTTTTGCTCTTAGTTGCAAGTTTTTGATGATCAAGCAGACATATTCTTTGTTGTTTTGTTAAAGTCGTTGATTAAAAGTAATATTTTAATCAAAATCATACAGTGAATTTCATTAAAACTCAAATTCATCGCATAGTTATGATTAAAATACTATTTTTAGTCCATGAATTTAGAAAACATCAAAAAATGTCCATTTCATCATCAGAAATGCCATTTTTTCATGTTTTTGACATCAAATTCACTTAAGTGATGAAATTTTTTTTTTATCTTTTAAGTCACTGAGTTGTTACTTGATGATGAAGTGGGCTGTTTTATTACTCCTTTTTTTGTTGTTGTACTATTTTGTTTACTATCAGCTAGATTTTTACCTTCGGACAAATTGTGATCACCTTTAGCTTTAATTTCTTTTTCTGAGTCTTTTTTTGATGAACCAGCAGCTTTACCTTTACGAACTGTTAAATACTTTTTTTCCGGAAGCCATCGCATCACTTTCATCCTTCGTTTCTAAAAATAAATAAAACACACATTTAATAATTACCCAAATCATCATCGATCTCTTGATCATTATCTTTGTTTTCTATAGTTGTATTATTTTGAGCTCGTTTTCGATTAATTTTACTATTAGCTTTTTTCGTTGTTGATTAACTTTCGTGTTCAGTATTTTCATTATCGATAGTCAAGAAAATTTAAATATAAATTAATTACAATATTATTATTGATAATTACCATTTTCATTTTCTTGATTGATGCCTTTCTTTGATGTCACTTTATTGGTTTTACCAGGTTCACTACCAAATTTAGCTTTAGGTTTTTTATTTGGTAATTCATTTGCATTTTACACATTATCATCATCATCAGTATCTGTACAGATTAAATCAAATGTTGATTAAGACTTTTTTTTTTGATTTTTTTTATGATCGGATTCATCTTTAGCTTTTTTACTTGACAATGTACCTTCAGTTCCAGTATTCTCATCGCCAGTATCTTTTTTGTTCATCATCATTAATCTTCTTGTTTTTTCTTGTGCAACACTTTTACCTTTAGCAGCAGCTTTGTTTGAAGTAGATGTTTTCTTATCTTCGTTACCTTCTTCTGTATCATTTAGGGAAAAAAAATGATTGTTTGGTGTTTAAGAGTTATATAAAATAATTAGAAAATTGTATTTTACCTACTTCTTGTTCTTCACTTTGTTTTTCTAGTTTTAACTTACTGACATTTACCATCTGAACTATTTATTTATTTCGTTGATGTTTTATGATTATTTGTTTTGTTTGATGACTGTTCATTATTTATATTTTTTTTTCTGATGAATCATTATGTGTATCACATTTTTTATTTGTTTGATCAATACACAACATATTAAATGGTATGTTTATAGAAAGAGATTATAAAGAAGAAAAGATTTATTTTTACTTCAGCTTCTGACTTTGTGTTTGATCGTGTAGTTTTATTAATACTAGATATTAAAAACAAAATGAATAAATGCTTTTTATTAGTGAGTAACATAAATAAAGAAAAATAATACATAGGTCGAATTTTTTTGATTTACTGTCATGTTGATTAGATTTTGTTGGACTTGACTATTCTGGTTATTGTTCAATATTTTCAATTGATTCTAGGTTTTCTTTGTCTTGTTTTTTTCTAGATAAGATAATCTATCATTAGAAAATATCTTCAAGTTACCTAGGAGTAAACTTACTTGATTAGTAGTTTTGATATTCATATCAATTTCATTTATAATAGAAGTTGATGCTTTAGTCTTAATTACTTTTTTGGGTGACATTACAAGAATACAAAACAATATGGATAATTGGTTGCAATGTGTTGAAACATATTTATTTTGTTTTTAATCAATCTTTTCAATACGATGCGATAAAATAAAATGATCGATATAAAAAGAAACATCGATAATCTAAAAGAAATAGGATACATATTCATATAAAACAAAGAAAAAATGTATAAGACGTTTAGTACAAGTTTACTACATTTTCGGGCAACACTTCTTAAATAAAAAAAAGAACAATTATTTAATAAAATTGATCAAAAATAAAAATAAAAAGTTTTTTTTTTCTCTATGAACTGAATACATACTGTTCGCAATGACGTATTTTAAAAACCCGCGAACCTATGTACGTTACTTTTTTTTCTCTTCTGCTGGTTCAACACACTTGTGCACCATTCAATATGTATGCATACATATATATATATATAAGAATGGAAAGAGGATCACTAAGACAACTCAAAGTAGAATATTTATGGAGATTTGTCGTTCTCTCGTTCATCCGTTCAACGTTCAATAACATGGCTAATTCGAATAATATTCAAGTACCATTGAATAACTCAGACGAACCCAAGTATATGAGATTAGAATAAGAAATCAACAAATTTTTTTAATAAAAGTTTTTCTTTTGCATTTAATTCAAGGTTTACAAATGAACATGAACAAATTCTTTTAAATAATGATGAACTTCGATTAAGAAATCGTGAACATTTAATTGAAAAACTTGAACGAGTTATTCAGGAAAAAAATGCTTCTATTATTAAACTTGAAGAACGGTAAAAAAAATATTCTTATAATACCTTTTAAATGTCAAATAATACAAAAAAGAAACCATTTTAGTGAACAATACTTAGAAGATACATTGAAAAAACGAAATATAGAATTTCAAATACTTGAAGATAAATTACGACAATATGAAGACAAGGTTAATAATTTGAATTTTTGTTTTTTTCTTTTTAGATCATTAAACAAATAGATTTTTATTTTAGACACGTACGTTTGAACAATTACATCAATTACAATTACAAACTTTTGAAAAAACAATACGTGACTGTCAAATTGAAAATGAACGTAAGCATTTCAAATTTTCTTTTGTTTTCATTAGAATGATAAATATATTAAATATTAGGATTATGTGAACATATTAATGATTTAACAAAAGAATTAAATGGAAAAGCTTCGTTTGATGCTATTAATCAAGAAAAAATTTTGGTTAATTCTTTTTTTTTGTGTCTTTGTTTTTAAATATTAATAATATTTATTTTTTATTTCATAGACATTTGATCGTATTGTTGCTGATACACAACTTTGGCGACAAAAACTTGATTCATATAAAGCAACTATTGAACAACGAGAAGAAACTATTGTTAATCTTAAGTAAATACTTTTTTTTTTGAAAATACTGTTTAAATATTCTATTATGCTTATTAAGAAAAGAAATTGATGAGTTACATAGAAAAAAGCAAACAAGTAAGTCAAATTTTATGATATATAAAAGATATTTGCTTTTCTTTTTTTTCACTATAGATAGTCATTTTGAAGATGATTCATTACGATTTCAAATTTCAAGTCTTCAAAATGTAAGATTTATAGTTTTGTACGGAAAATATTCCTTCATGCACAATGTGAATTAGAGCCCGATAGGTTGGTTTGTACATTCGCCCACACGAGTTATACTCAAAATGTAGCATTCATTTACAGTTAACTAAAGTTACATTCCTTTTCTCGAAATTGAAGAAACCTTTTAAGTCAGTTCTTTTTTCTTTTAAACTCTTTCTACAGTAAAACATTTCGCAAATGATTCTATCAAAGATATTTCTAAATGAATTCATCATAATGATTTCATATTTTCTAGACTTTACGAGATCGTGATAATGAAATAAAACAATTAAAATTAACACTTCGTCGTGTTCGTGATACATTACAACCTGTAAGTTTTACTTTGACATATTCGTCTATTCAAAAATTTTTCTTTTAGAATCGTTTATCTCATGAAAGTCGTTGGAAAAGTTGTAGTGAAGATATTGGACGGAATCAATCTGTAATAAAATCATTTCAAAACAAACGTGCTATTTCTCCATCTATTCATGATTCATCTTCTCCATTAGATACAGAATTTTTAAAAACAAAATTTCATACATTAACTGATCGTTTTAATAATGTTCAACAATTACTTGTTAAACGTGATAATCAAATAATTACATTAAAAAAAGTTCATGATAAACGTTGGTTACGTCTTAAACATTTACAAAAACAATATCGATTACTTAAAGATGAATTACAATCTTATACTGATGATGAAATTTTACAAACAAATTCAAAAAATGATTTTTTCTATCGAAAAGCAATACATAAAACAAAAAATGGTTGTTCCGTATGTAATGATCATCGATGGAGAAAACAAACTGAAAATAATAGAAAATTACTTAAACAAGAAGATGATGATCATGTTTGGAATGAAGTTACGAAATTAAAACGTGAAAATGCAAAATTAACTAATGAAAAGTAAACAATATTTGATCTATTCTTCTTATAAACTACGAATCACATTTTTAATATAAAATGTTGAGTTTATGGTTTAAAACAAATTCATATAGATATATATGCATAGTACAAAAAAAAAACTATAATAGAAAAATGTTGATACACAGTCGAAGTTGTTATTTTTTGAGTACATTCTTGAATAACATTTATTAATTGGTTATTCTATACTTCATCATTCGTATCGTTTAGTTATGTGTATGGCTTTAGAACTTTTTTTTTCAAATCTTTTGTTTGATAAGATTCCTTACTAGCTAAGCATTGTTAAAACAAAGGTTATAACCCGCAGTGATGGTTCAAGGATTTTATCAAAGGAGAATGATCATGGTCACAGCACGTGTTGTAAAGCTCATTATAGATCGTATCAACTTCTTTTTAGATGTTTGCTATTGAAAAAACTCGAAAAATATATCGAAAAGGAGAAGTAATTGCCTCTAATACTCTTTCTCTACACTCATCAATATATAACTTGGCTATTAACATAGTTCAATATTAAATGCTTAAGTAAAAAATACGGCCCGAAGAAACCTAACAGAGATGGAACTGGACATGTAGAAAACCTTATTGAAGAAAGACTACGACAATTATCACTATCCTTAGATAGACTACTAACACAACTCGTCAAACCAGTGTCAGTATGAATTTCAGACTACCGCTCCGATCTGGTCTATCCTGGTCAGCACTAGTATCGATTAAGAAAAATTCAGATTGGTTTTATATTCGAAGTATGAAATGACTCATTAACAAATATTATTCAAGAAAGTGTTAGAAAAAAAGAAAATTCAACAATGTATCAACATTTTGTATTAAATTTTTCTGTATTCAAATCGTCTATTCTTGTATTATTTATAGTAAACTGTTAACTCTAATACAATTTGCATTGATTTTGTCATTGGTAGAAATATTATTCATTTGTCTATTTAGTTTAAGTCTACAAGAAAAAGTTGATTTACAAGAAGTTGAAATAAATGAACAAATAAATGTTATTGATGAACTTCATAATGAAATACGACAAATCAATGATAAAGAAGAACAAATTCAATCAACACATATAAAAACATCAAATAATGAACAAAAACATCTTATAGAAGAACTTGATAAAAAATTATATGAACTTGAAACAGAACGAACATGTTTAATATTTGAAAATGAACGTTTAAAAACTAATTATGATTTATGTAATGATGAAAAACAACATTTAATTCAACAAAAAATACAATTAAATAATGAATTAAAACAATATAAACTTCGAATACTCTCATTACAAGATCAAATACATAAATTAAAACGAAATAGTCAAATAAATAATGAAAAAGATTTAATATTAAAACCAATATTAACAATAAAAAGACGAACAATAAAAAAGAAACCAAAAAAATCAACAACAGCGAAATCATGTTTAGAATTGTTACTTGATCAAAATTCAACATTAATTGATGATCTTCAAAATGAATCATTAATATCTAATAGACGACAAGATCATTTATGTAGTCTTTGTGATCATCAAAGTGAAAATTCATTTAGACAACGTAAAAGACGACCATCAATATCATCCATAATATCAAGACCAAGATGTTTGTTATCTAAATCATCAATTTTGTTCATATAAAAAGTCTTTATTTTTTATATTTAGGTGGACCATTCAAAAGAAGTTCTATGACTAAAAATCGCGCAAACCCTCCAATGAAATATTCCAATATTCCTCGAAAACCAAATACTCCTTCATCAATACAGAAAGTTCCTCCAATCCGAGTAAATACTACTAAACAGAACAATGATTTTTTTTTTGTCTAACAAGAATTAAATCTTTTTATCTTAGATTTCAACATTTCGTAAACATATTGAACAATTAAAAACTGATCTTGCTAATTCTCGAAAAGAAAATGAACATCTTAATCAACGTTTAATGACAACATTAAGTCGAATTAATATTCTTAAAACAACAAATCAAGTTAGTATTTGAATTCTTTTTTTTTTTTTATTTATGCAATTTTTTCTTTGATTTTAAAGAAACTTATTATTGAATGTGATAAATTTAAAAATAATCATTTCAATCAATCAACATTTGTTAATCATGATTTACCAAATATTGATCATAGTATCAATATTGATAATTTATCTGAACGTCTTAAAAATAGTTCATTTGATGCTGCTCAACAACGTAAATTAAATAAAACTTTACAAACAGATAATGATATATTAAATAAAAATTTACAATCATTAACTGAAAAGTAAAATTTATCAATAGATAAAAAAAAGAAAAAATTTCTTGATATTCAATTTTATTCTACTTATTTAGATTAACACATACAGAACGTGATATTGCTAGTAAACGATTATTAATTGAAAATTATAAAACACGATTAAATGAAATGGAAACAAGTCTTAATCGTTCACATGACAAAAATATAAATGAAGTAAAAATTTTGATTTATTTTAAATTTTTTTTAATATCTTTTCAT